AGTGGATCGGCAACCAACAGAATGGGAAAAAATTTTCGCGGTCTACCCATCTGACAAAGGGCTGATATCCAGAATTTACAAAGAACTCAAACAGATTTACAGGAAAAAAACAAACAAGCCCATTCAAAAGTGGGCAAAGGATATGAACAGATACTTTACGAAAGAAGACATATATGAGGCCAACAATCATATGAAAAAATGCTCATCGTCACTGGTCATCAGAGAGATGCAAATCAAAACCACATTGAGATAACATCTCACTCCAGTTAGAATGGCGATCATTAAAAAATCTGGAGACAACAGATGCTGGAGAGGATGTGGAGAAAAAGGAACACTTTTACACTGTTGGTGGGAGTGTAAATTAGTTCAACAATTGTGGAAAACAGTGTGGCTATTCCTCAAGGCCTTAGAAATAGAAATTCCATTTGACCCAGCAATCCCATTACTGGGTATATATCCAAAAGACTATAAATCATTCTACTATAAGGACACATGTACACGAATGTTCATTGCAGCACTGTTTACAATAGCAAAGACCTGGAATCAACCCAAATGCCCATTGATAATAGACTGGATTGGAAAAATGTGGCACATATACACCACTGAATATTATGCAGCAATCAGAAATGATGAGTTCGTGTCGTTTGTAGGGACATGGATGAATCTGGAGAACATCATCCTCAGCAAACTGACACAAGAACAGAAAATGAAACACCGCATATTCTCACTCATAGGTGGGTGATGAAAAATGAGAACACATGGACACAGAAAGGGGAGTACTAAACACTGGGGTCTATTGGGGGGAAAAGGGGAGGGCCAGTGGGAGGGGGAGGTGGGGAGGGATAGCCTGGGGAGAAATGCCAAATGTGGGTGAAGGGGAGAAGAAAAGCAAAGCACACTGCCATGTGTGTACCTACGCAACTGTCTTGCATGCTCTGCTCATGTACCCCAAAACCTATAATCCAATAAAAAATTAAAAAAAAAAAAAAAATCTACCCAAGAAGAATGAAAACAAATATCCACACTGATACATGAATGAGAATGTTCATAGCAGCAATATTCATAATAGCCAAAAACTTGAAACAATCCAAATGTCCGTCAGCTGGTGAGTAAATAAGCAACATGTGGTATATTCATACAATGGGATACTGTTCAGCAATAAAAAGGAACTGAACTGATACCAGCTAGATGAATGAATATCAAAAGCATATCCTAAGTAAAAGGAGCTAGATGGCAAAAGACTATATACTGTTTTATTCCATATACATAAAGTGTCCAGAAATAGCAAATTTATAGAGACAGACAGCAAATTAGTATTTAGCTGGCTAAGAGGTTGGGAGTGGAAACAGGATCAACTGCAAAGAGACATGAGAGAATTTTTTGGTGTGATGAAATGTTCTCAAACTGGACTACAGTGATGGCTGTGCAACTATAAATTCATTAAAAATCACTTAATTATGATGGTAGATTCTATTACATGTGAATTATACCTCAACGATACCGATTTAACAAAAGGATTTTAGAAAGCTACTAAGCTCAGTGTTTTAATACACACACATACATCCACTCAAAAGTTTTTTAAAAAGCTACTAAACTCAGTGTTTTATACACACATACACATACACACACACACACGCACGCACGCACGCACATACACCCTCCTCGTGTAAAGTAATATTGTTTAATTTACTTTATTTCTATCATACTGCTTTACCATATAGTGGCCTCTATTGGCCAAAAGGAGAGATTCTGATTATTTGGTTACTGATTGCTTTAATTTTTTTTTTTTTTTTTGAGACAGAGTCTCAGTCAATTACCCAGGCTGAAGTGCAGTGGCTCGATCTCAGCTTACTGCAACCTCCGCCTCCAGGGTTCAAGCGATTCTCATGCCTCAGCCTCCCAAGGAGGTGGAATTACAGACATGTGCTACCATACCCAGCTAATTTTTGTATTTTTGGTAGAAACAGGGTTCTGCCCTGTTGGCTAAGGTGGTCTCAAACTGCTGACCTCAAGTAATCCATCTGCTTTGGCCTCCCAAAGTGCTGGGATCACAGGCATGAGCCACCATGCTTGGCCTAAATTTTTGTATTTATAATGTATCCACTGTATAAATTAGGCATAGAAATAGCTATGGTTTCTTCAAAGAGAATTCTTACGATATAAAGTCTAAATTGTGCCCATTTAAAGGAAAGCAGATGGGAAAAACAGTTAAGAATAAAAGGACACAAGAAGCACAAGCAAACTCACTTGCTCCCAATCTAAACCATACCTATAAAATATACTTGATAAGAATAACTAATGCTTTTTAAAAAAATAATTCATATAATTGACTGACCTCATCCAGTGAACCCAAGACAAATTCAGAGAAAGATACTAATGGAAAGCCTGTAAAATTTCAAGTGTATGCTATATAAGTGAAATGTAAATTAGTCACGGCCAGGCACAGTGGCTTATGCCTGTAATCCCAGCACTTTGGGAGGCCAAGGTGGGTGGATTGCCTGAGCTCAGGAGTTGGTGACCAGCCTGGGCAACATGGTGAAACCTCATCTCTGCTAAAATACAAAAAATTAGCCTAGCATGACGGCATGCGCCTGTAGTCCCAGCTACTCAGGAGGCTGAGACAGAAGAATTGTTTGGACCCAGGAGGCAAAGGTTGTAGTGAGCCCAGATTATGCCAGTGCACTCCAGCCTGGGCCAGAGAGTGAGACTCTGTCTCAAAAAAAATAGAAAAAAGAAAAAAAAGTTATTTGATTTTTTTTTGCTTTTGGAGGGTAGACTAGCATGATAATTAAGAGCATAAGCTTTGGAGTTAGCTTAGATTCAAATCCTAGCTCTATTTTTTCATACATCAGCTGACCTTGGGTTTATTATTTAACTGATCAAAGCCTCAGTACTTACTGATATAAAATGGAGAACATATTTTATTGGAAAGGACTGTTGGGAGTATTGCTTAACCTACAGCAATCACACAATAAATAAATCATACATAATTATTGTTATTTCTGCTCAGGAGTTGACAATAAATTTTACTTTAAATGGTCTTCATGTTAAAACAAATATTTATAAGATTCAGATTCACCAGACATTCGCTGAGCATTTATTAAATGCGTCCAAAGCACTGTGCTTAAGCTCTATGGAGAAAAAGTTGTGGAAACATTGAAGAAACACTAAACAAACTATCAAAAATCATTAAAAGGGCTGGGAGTGGTGGCTTACGCTTATAATCCCAGCACTTTGGGAGGCTGAAGCCAGTGGATCACCTGAGGTCAGGAGTTCGAGACCAGCCTGGCCAGCATGGTGAAACCCTGTGTCTACTAAAAATACAAAAACTTAGCTGGGCATGGTGGTGGGCACCTATACTCTCAGTGACTCTGGAGGCTCAGGCAGGAGAATCACTTGAATCCAGCAGGTGGAGGTTGCAGTGAGCCAAGATCCTGCCACTGCACTCCAGCCTGGGCGACAACAGCGAAACTCCATCTGAAGAAAAAAAAAATAATTAAGGGGATAACCACTGATAAACATTGAAAGATGTTATAATGCATTAAGTGAAAAAGATTGCCAAACAGTAGTCATGGGTATGATCCTGTTTTTATAAGTACACATGTATATTTACATATATTCACACATACACAAATATACATATGTATGATGCTAAACCAAATTATGCAAACCATAATAAGATGGCCATAATATACCATAATATACATATATAGATACTAAACCATAATTTGGTTTGGTTACGGTTTAGCATCATACATATGTATATTATGGTCATCTTTCAGTGGTATGGTAAAAATAATTTTATTTTCTTTTTTCTTAAGTATATTTTCTCTTTTTTTGAGAGAGGGTCTCATTCTGTTGCCCAAGCTGGAGTACAGTGATGTTATCTTGACTTACTGTAGCCTCAACCACCTGGCTCAGCTAATCCTCCCACCTCAGCCCCTGGAGTAGCTGGGGACTACAAATACACACCCAACCAATTTTTGTATTTTCTGTAGAGAGGGGGTTGCCCCATGTTGCCCAGGCTGGTTTCGAACTCCTGGGTGCAAGTGATCCTCCCATCCTTGGCCTCCCAAAGTGTTGGGTTTACAGGCGTGAGCCACCATGCCTGGCTTATATGTTCTAATTTTTATGTGAATGTTTAACACTACTATAAAAAAAGGGAAAAGTTGAAGAAATGCTGATCATTAGTACACCATATACAGATTGGCTCAGATGAAACGTAGGCAATTAGCATCCTGGATTAGAAGTGGAAAGAAAGACTTAGAGGGCACAGAATATATCGTGTTCCTGTTTAGAAAGATTAAAACAGAACAAAGTCTGAATAACATTTATAATTCATTCCATGAAAGACTCTTTAGATCAGAATGCTATGCTTCAAGTGCTGCTTCTAATTCTTTAGAATTTGAGTTAATTAACTTATCATTTGGAGTAGTGTTCTAAGAGTAGAGAAGAGAAAATTATCCTTAATTTCTGGCATAGTTAGAGGTAAATGGACAGAATAGAAAATCAAACAAAAAGTTTTCTGGGTTCAGGACTCCACAGAAAGCAGGGTCACGAGGCCATGGCCAAGGGCTGGTATGTATTTTCTCCCTATTGAAACAGCTGGCAAGACTAAAGCATGACCTTACTCTCAATAAGCGAGTTGCTGCTACTGAGTTCAATGCCTCCAGCAACTGGGGTGTTATTGGAAACATAATACCTTAGTCCAGCTAATATGATGAAGCCCACTCAGGAGTCCCTTTGAATTATCTCTCTGTTCCCAACATTATATTACTGGCTTCTCAGTAATGAAAGAAAATCATTCTGACGTCTACCTTCCACTTGTGAGAGGAGGGAGAAGTGGCAATGGAGACAACAGTAAGAACAGCCTTCCCAAAACTAAGATTCCACTGCTGCCAACATGTGTAAGTCTTGATTATTTGGGAAGGGATAAAGCAAAATGTCAGAACTAAATTTTCTCTGAACAATAAGGTAAACTAGTAAACTGGAAAACTCACCTGAAAACATTTTTACAAAGTCATCAGTAGACATACTCATCACCACATCTGCCCGATTAGAAGGCTCTCCATATCCAACATTCCCACCCTTGCTTTTCAGATCAAGAAACCACGTACCACCATCTTCACCTAGAGAGATAAACATACAGAAATAAGTTTCCTAGGAGCCCTTGTTCTCCTTAAATTTAATGGTTACTACAATTAGAATAATCTTTAAAAATGCTGTTTCCCAAGTTAAAATCCCCAGACCTCCATCAGTCAAATTCAGCAACTATTTATTAAGCACTTCCAGGTATTCTGCTAGTCTCTGAAGATTCTTCGATAAAAAGAAAACCATGGTTCTACTTACAAAAGAGGAAGTAGAGAGTGATGTAGGAGCTAGTCTCTGAAGATTCTTCGATAAAAAGAAAACCATGCTTCTACTCACAGAAGAGGAAGTAGAGAGTGATGTAGGAGCACATTAAAGGGTCAGGATACCCAGAGTAGGAAAACTCATAAAGACAAAAAGTAGAACAGTGGTTCCTGGGGATTGGGGGGTGGGGGAATGGGAGTTATTGTTTAATGGGTACAGAGTTTCACTTGGAATGATGAAAAAGTTCTGGAGATAGATGGTGATGATGGTTATAAAACAATGTGAATGCATTTAATGCTACTAAGCTTTACACTTAGAAGTGGTTTAAAATAGGCCGGGCATGGTGGCTCATGCCTGTCATCCCAGCACTTTGGGAGACTGAGGCAGGCGGATCACTGGAGATCGGGGGTTTGAGTCCAGCCTAGCCAACATGGTGAAACTCCGTTTCTACTAAAAATACCGAATTAGCTGGGTGTGGTGGCATGCACCTGTAATCCCAGTGACTCTGGAGGCTGAAGCAGGAGACTCTCTTGAACCCAGAAGGTGGAGGTAGCAGTAAACCAAAATTGCACTACTGCACTCCAGTCTAGGCAACAAAGCCAGACTCCATCTCAAAATAATAATAAATACTTTAAAATAAGAAAAGTTTAAAAAAGCTGACTACCTTCAGACTGACCTGGTTAATCTGAAAGATAAAAATGGCAAGGTGCCTATTGTTGATAAATTACTGTATCACACTACACTATGTGATCCATACCTGAAAAACAGGTAGTGTGATACAGTAATTTATCATTAGTGTACAGTAATTTATCATATGATCCATATGCCCTTTTAAGCAGGATTTTCTATCAAGTATGCCAAAGAGTTATATATAATGCTGGGAGTATTTGTAATGAAATTTTACTTTACAAGTGTCCATACTCACTGATCTTAATCTAAAAATAAAAATCACTGGGAGGCTGAGGTCAGAGGATCACTTGAGCCCAGGAGGTCGAGGCCAAAGTGAGCCACAATTATGCCATTGCTCTCCAGCCTGGGTGACAAAGAGTCTATCTCAAAGAAACAACAAAATCAATAGTTATAGTTATATAAGTTATATATGTCTCTTGAATCCAGGAGGTGGGTTATATAGTTATATAGTTACAGTTGGCATTCAAGAATAAGGGTCTTGAATGCAGCCCACAATCCAGGTGATTACTGTTGGAGGCTGATTTTCTTCCAAAGGAAACACCCCATTTTGTTTCATAAAAACTTCAGATTACCAGATGCAGTCCTTACCGGAGAGTTCAAACAGATAGATTCCTTGAGTGGCTTTAACAACATCATCACTGAGAGAGTCCTTAACAATTCTAAATGTTTCTTCCACAGCTCCCAAATGTGGTTTTGGTTGTGGCTGTGGTTTCTCTTCTTTGAATTCTGGAACAGCACCTGTAAAATATTATTCAAGCAAATGACCTTAATACTTTGGCAGTGAAGGACCATACACAGAATTAATTAATCAGCAGGACAGACTTGCTACCAATTAGACCTATTTGACCAAAATGACTCTAAATGGATTAAGTGGCATCTAAAAGCATGAATCAAATTGACAGAATAACAATCAAACACACATCAATTATGACTACAAATGTAAATGGTTTATACTCTCCAAATAAAAGGCTGACTTTCAGATTAGATGAAAAAATACTACTATATTATAAATATTTATCATAAACAGACCTTCTGTAATCTGAGCACTTTGTGATGCCAAGACAGGTAGATTGCTTGAGCCCAGGAGTTTGAGACCAGCCTGAGCAACATGGAGAAACACTGCCTCTACAAAAAAATACAAAAATCAGCTGGGCATGGTGGCTGTTGCCTGCAGTCCCAACTAGTTGGGAGGCTGAGGTGAGAGGATCACTTGAGCCTGGGAGGCAGAGTCTGCAGTGAGCTGAGATTACGTCACTGCACTCCAGCCTGGGTGACATAGGGAGATCCTGTCTCAAAAAAATAAATAAAAATAAATAGACCTAAACACAACTACTGGAGTATTAGGATGATAACCAATCCCTCCTTTATCAATTTCTCTGAGTTCTAAAGCCAAATGAACACAAAAAGACACTGGAATCAGAAAGATGGAAATCAGAATATCAACTGTGGAATTAGTAGAGCTAACCTGGAGACTGTAGCTTGAATCAACAGCCAAGTGTACTTTCTAATCACTCTACCTCTAAATTCAATCTATTCAACCAGTCCTTCCACCCATGGATTGACCCCGCATCCTCCCATCAAGGGTTAGAAATGCTCTGTAAGTAGAGATCATGTGAAACCTGAGGACAGCCTGCTCAGAAAGACAGAATGCTCAGAAGGGTCTGAACCACACAAGCTCAGTTTCTTCTCTCCATCCCACTTAATTCAGATTGTCCCTCCCACTAGATGAAAAGGGAGGTTAAACTATTAGTCCCTGACTGACAGGCTGCCTTCCCTGGAAACACTAGGTCACAGGAATGGAGGTTACCTATAACATTTTTAAACTTGTATTCACTTACCCATTGGCTATAACAACTCAACATATGATCAGCCAGGAGAAAAGAGCAGTTCATAGGACTGCTTTGCTCCCATATGATGATGCTGTCCCCTAATACCGTCTCAGCTCCTTTATTTATTATTTATTTATTTTTTTTGGGGGGGACAAAGTCTCTCTTTGTCACCCAGGCTGGAGTGCAGTGACTCGACCTTGGCTCACTGCAACCTCCATCTACCAGTTCAAGCAATTCTCCTGCTTCAGCCTCCCGAGTAGCTGGGACTACAGTTGCCCACCACCATGCCTGGGTAATTTTTGAATTTTTAGTAGAGAAAGTGTTTCACCATGTTGTCCAGGATGGTCTCAAACTCCTGACCTCAGGTGATTCACCCACCTTGGCCTCCCAAAGTGGTGGGATTACAGGCGTAAGCCACTGTGCCCAGCCTCTCTGTTCCTTTATTTACCATCCTAGAATCACATGGGGGCCACTGAGTAGTTGCTCCCCAGAAACAGGTAAGAGTAATTCATTAATTAAATTAAATCCAAGGCCAACCAATCTGTTCTCTAGGCTGAAAATTAATCTGTTTCTCAACTCAAATTATACATAGCCATCTTGTCCAATACAATTCCTCAAAGGTTATTAAATGAAATCTAATCAATGGCATCAAGATACTCCATAGTACAAAGTAAGCTATTAATTCATAAAGTATACTGAATATAAACTTCCATTATGATGTTTCCACAAATTAAAAAATCCTTTTCCTTTTATAAGTTAAAGTAGAAACAGATATTAGAGATGAAAGCCTTAAGATCTGATGGAACTAAGATACAGACCTAAGGAATTTTTTCAACCTGTTTTATTATTTTTTTAATATTTACTATAGACAGTGTATCCCTTTATTGCCTGAACTGGGGGCATTCCACTTCTCCTGCCTTGCCCCTAGCATGGCACTGCTTTTTATTGACATGTAACATACATTCAGAAACAGTGATCAGACGTATGCAGATCAAAATGTATATAAAAAAGTGAAAACATCATGTCATCACCACGTAGGTCAAGAAAGAGGACATTACAGATATCCCAGATGCCCACTCCACAACCCCTCCTAATTGCTAACACCATATATTAGTTTTATCTCATGTTTGTCTTCAAATAAATGGAATTAATCACATGGCATCTATTCTTTTATGCCTGCCTATCCTTCAAAACTCTTCTAAAAAATGCAAGAGGGGGGAACACTTTCTAATTCATTATGTGAGGCCAGTATTACCATGACACCAAGCCAGACACAGACATACAAAAAAACTGACTAATGTAGACAGACAATATGCAAATGCATATACATGCAGGCATACATAAAATTCAGTCGAGAAGTGATGAGTTCTACTTTAAAAAGAGCAAGAACTGGGATAGAATGTAAGACTATTTTAGATAAGGTAGTTTTTGAATAGACGCTGAATTAAGCAATATAAGGCTGAACATATAAACACATACACACATACATATTTATCCTACCATTTGAAAACATAAATTTGGCCAATAGTTCGTTTCCACCAGTTAAATTTGAAAAAGGGTCCCCCATGCTTCAGTGATAATACCTAATACTTTATAACCTCCGCAATGCTTTTTTGAGCAATGCCACTTCCCAGTTATTTTCCACGTGTACACCAGTGTAAGTGAATGGGGCATATTACTATTAATATAAGGTATTATTATTTAGAAGCCAATTTTAAAACTGAGCTATGAATTCCAATTTCTTTCTTTCTTTCCTATTTTTCTCTTTTCTTCTCTCTCTCTTTCTCTCTCTCTCTCTCTTCTTTCTTTCACAGAATCTTGCTCTGTCACCCACGGTGAAGTGCAGTGGCAAAATCGAGGTTTTACTGCAGCCTTGACCTCCTGAGCTCAAGATTCCTAAGCAGCTGGGACCACAGGCATGTGCCACTAGGCCCAGCTAATTTTTGTGTATTTTTTGTACAAACAGGATTTCACACTGTTGGCCAGGCTGGTCTCAAACTCCTAGACTCAAGTGATTTACCTATCTCAGTCACCCCTCCCTGGGATTACAGACATGAGCAACCACATCCAGCCTCAAAAAGTTGTTTCTGAAGTCAAGGAAAATATTCACAATAATTAAGTAATGTCAAATTAAATGGGAGTCTATGCAGTTAAACATAATATTAATAAAGCATCTTTCTTCAAAATAAATGAACCAACTGGTAAAATATTTATTTCTGGGTATATGTTTTAAGTTATATGTGCAAAAAAAAAGTGGTTGAAAGGAAATAAGCCAAAATACAGATGCATTTATAACTGGATTACAAGTGAATTTAAATTTTTTCTTTGAGCTGTTCCATACCTTTTTATACTTCTGTATTAAGCTTTTCTTTTTAAAGTTGTTTTAATTTTTTTTTAATTATACTTTAAGTTCTGGGGTACATGTGCAGATCATGCAGGATTGTCACACATGTATACACATGACATGGTGGTTTGCTGCATCCATCCCCCCCGTCACCTACATTAGGTATTTCTCCTAATGTTATCCCTCCCTAATCCCCTCACCCTGTGCTTTCCCTCCCTAGCCCCCAGCCCCCAACAGGCCCCGGTGGGTGATGTTTCCCTCCCTGGTTCCCCACTTATGAGTGAGAACATGTGGTGTTTGGTTTTCTGTTCTTGTGTCAGTTTGCTGAGAATGATGGTTTCCAGCTTCATCCATGTCCCTGCAAAGGACATGAACTCATCCTTTTTTATGGCTGCATAGTATTCCATGGTGTATATGTGCCATATTTTCTTTATCCAGTCTATCATTGATGGGTATTTCAGTTGGTTCCAAGTCTTTGCTATTGTAAACAGTGCCACAGTGAACATATGTGTGCATGTGTCTTTATAATAGAACAATTTATGATCCTTTGGATATATACCCAGTAATGGGATTGCTGGGTCAAATAGTATTTCTGGTTCTAGATCCTTGAGGAATTGCCACACTGTCTTCTACAATGGTTGAACTAGTTTACACTCCCACCAACAGTGGAAAAGCATTCCTACTTCTTCACATCCTCTCCAGCATCTGTTGTCTCCCGATTTTTTAATGATTGCCATACAAACTGGCATGAGATGGTATCTCAGTGTGGTTTTGATTTGCATTTCTTTAATGACCAGTGATGATGAGCATTTTTTCATATGTTGGTTGGCTGCATAAATGTCTTCTTTTGAAAAGTGTCTGTTCATATCCTTTACCCACTTTTTGATGGGGTTTTTTCTTGTAAATTTGTTTTAGTTCCTTGTAGATTCTGGATATTAGCCCTTTGTCAGATGAGTAGATTACAAATATTTCTTCCCAATTTGTTCGTTGCCAATTCACTGTAATCATTGTTTCTTGAGCTGTGCAGAAGCTCTTAAGTTTAATTAGATCCCATTTTGGCTTTTGTTGCCATTGCTTTTGGTGTTTTAGTCATGAAGTCCTTGCCTATGCCTATGTCCTGAATGGTATTGCCTAGGTTTTCTTCTAGGGCTTTTATGGTGTTAGGTCTTATGTTTAAATCTTTAATCCATCTGGAGTTAATGTTTATATAAGGTATAAGGAAGGGATGCAGTTTCTGCTTTCTGCACATGGCTATCCAGTTTTCCCAACACCATTTATTAAACAGAAAATCTTTTCCCATTGCTTGTTTTGTCAGGTTTGTCAAAAATCAGATGGTTGTAGATGTGTGTCATTACTTCTGAGGCCTGTGTTCTGTTCCATTGGTCTATATCTCTGTTTTGGTGCTAGTACCATGCTATTTTGATTACTGTAGCCTTGTAGTATAGTTTCAAGTCAGGTAGCATGATGCCTCCAGCTTTGTTCTTTTTGTTTAGGATTGTCTTGGCTATGCAGGCTCTTTTTTGGTTCCATGTGAAGTTTACGGTGATTTTTTCCAGGTCTGTGAAGAAAGTCAATGGAAGCTTGATGGGGATAGCACTGAATCTATAAATTACTTTGGGCAGTATCGCCATTTTCACTATGTTGATTCTTCCTAACCATGAGCATGGAATGTTTTTCCATCTGTTTGCGTCCTCTCTTATTTCCTTGAGCAGTGGTTTCTAGTTCTCCTGAAGCAGACCTACATGTCCCTTGTTAGCTGTATTCCTAGGTATTTTATTCTCTTTGTAGCAGTTGTGAATAGGAGTTTGTTCATAATTTGGCTCTCTGTCTGTTATCAGTGTATAGGAATGCTTGTGGTTTTTGCAAATTGATTTTGTATCCTGAGACTTTGCTGAAGTTGCTTATCATCTTAAGGAGATTTTGGGCTGAGACGATGGGGTCTTCTAAATATA